CCCACCCCCGAAAAAGTTTTTTAAAGTTGTAAAACATATAGGGTATATATAAAGATAACAATTTACATAAAGATAACATTTCGAATAATGACATGATAAAACATGTAGAAACAGTAATTTTAAGGACCCAGTTTACAATATACCGCATTTGAAACGCCGTTGGAGCGACTTCCGCACGTGTTTTCTCCTATAACCATTTACTCTATAGCATGGATTTAAAAATGGCCGATGCTGAAAATAACAACTCGAATATATATATATATATATATATATATATATATATATATATATATATATATATATATATATATATATATATATATATATATATATATATATATGTATATATATATATATATATGTAATTCAATTTGTTTTGGTTGCCTAGATATATAAAGTGCTCATATATATATATATATATATATATCGCATTTTACTTATGTTAAATTCCCATTGTATTGATACATGTTTTGGGTCAGTGAACATGCATGTCATTGACCTTCAAAGTGGCATTGAAATATTCAGGAGTGATTTGTACTTTTTACAAGGAAAGTAAAATAAAATCACATCAGTGAATTCAGCAATGTTTATAATGATACTTAAAACATGAATTTACTCCATAAAACCGAAGAGTTATCGCGGTTTGAAGAGTTATCGCGGATTTATTGAAGAGTTATCGCGGTTGGTATGTCAGATCACTTCAGTGTTCTCCTCCATCCATTTACACAACCAACCGAACGCATTCTAAGAAGAGATTCTCGGCCTTCCAATAAACATGCTCTATTTATAAAATTATCGCAAGCTGACTGGATCCCACTCTGCCATACTACATGATGCAACGACAAAGTTTCTCTCTTGACTGAAATTGTATCTCAAGCGATAGATTCTACTCTTCCCATGCGCAGTATTAAGATCTATCCTTCTGGCAAACCATGGATTAATCCTGAAATAAAAGATTTCATTAACAAACGACAGCATGCATGGCTAATTGGCCATACTCAAATGTATACCTTCTATCGCAACAAAGTCAACAAAATGGTAAAGAGGCACGTGGCATCTATTTTACTGAAAGAATTTTAAATACTCAAGATATTAACCTGAAGAAATGGTGGAAAAGCAGGTTTTTCTAAATCTCCTAGTGTGACCAGTCTTTTCCATAATGGAGTTTTTAAGCGAGGAGCTGAATTAGCAGACACGATTGCTGAATCTTTCTGCAAAGTTTCGAAAGATATTCCACCACTCAACTTTACCAGATTACCAATCCTCTCAGTTCCGGATGAATTTACCATCACATCACAACAAGTCGAGTATGAACTGTCCCAAATTAATTCGCAGAAATCCACTGGGCCAGATGATATACCCAATTGGCTCCTCAAGACCTGTGCACATATCCTCAGTGATCCCATATCCTCTATATTTAATGCTTCAATCGCCCAAGGCTCTCTCCCAAACGTTTGGAAAAGTGCCGACGTTCTAGCAATACCTAAAATACCCAATCCAAAGTCCGTCGATGACGATCTAAGGCCTATATCACTTACCCCTGTCCTCTGGCCGCATTTAGACCACTACCAATACGGAAATATCAAGAATAGTTGCACAACACATGCCCTAATCACCTTATCCATCATTGGTTAGTTGCACTCGAAACACCGGGTAACTCCATAAGATCCTGCATGATCGATTTTTCTAAAGCTTTCGATCGCGTTGACCACAATATCCTCCTGGAAAAACTATCACATTTCAATGTTCCCCCCATACTCTTGAACTGGTGTGCTAATTTCCTAGAACACCGTTATTTCCGAGTAAAAATGGGTAAAATAAAATTTGATTGGAAGGAAATTAATGCTGGTATCCCACAAGGAACTATACTTGCCCCCTTGTTCTTCCTTATAATGATAAACGATCTCACAACAACCCTACCCTTATATAAGTATGTAGACGATTGCACTGCATATGAAGTCGTTTCCAGGCCAACCAATTATACTATGCTCCAAACGGACCTCAACATCGTCAATACCTGGACAGAAATTAATAACATGCGCCGTAACATAAAGAAAACGAGAGAATTCCGGATATCTTTCCTAAAGACCCCGTTAGAAATCGATCTGCTCACCATCAATAACATCTCACTTGATATAGTGCAAAGTTTGAAGCTCCTGGGAATAACAATCTCAAGCGACCTTACATGGAATATTCATGTTGATAACATATGTGCTAAAGCTAGTAAAAGGTTATATGCCCTTCGAATTTTGAAACGAAATGGTGTCCCGGTTGCAGACTTATTAACTATCTACTGCACTTTTATCAGACCGGTATTGGAATATGCATGCCAGGTTTGGCATACTTCACTCTCCTCAACTTTATCTGATCAAATCGAACATGTCCAAAAAAGAGCGATAAAGATTATATTCCCTCATCTCTCATATACTGCTTCTCTAGAACAATCGCGATTATCTACACTCCACGAACGCAGAGAAAATCATTGCTTGTCTTTGTATAAATCTGTTTTAAACCATGATAATAAATTACACGAACTTCTTCCTGATCCTGTTTACCATAAAAATCATCTTAGGAACCCTCGAAATTATCCACTTTTTAAATGTAGAACAGAACGTTTCAAAAACAGTTTTATTCCATATTGTGTTAAAAAATGGGATTCAGTTGAGTTGACCCACTCAAACTAATGTTTATCTTATCTTCAAGTCAGTACATTTATATATATATATACGAATCGTTAACTTTTGTAATCTTTAACTTGTAAATAGTATGGCTACTTTTACCAATTTGTAATTTCAAGTTTTTCAGGTCGCTAGCCACGCCATGTAACTGCCATTTGGAAATTTTAATAAATCATTCATTCATTCATAAATTCATTATAAAGAGTAAACATTCCTGAATTCACCGATGTGATTTTATTTTAGTTTCCTTGTAATTTACAATTTACTCCAGAATATTTCAATGCCACTTTGAAGGTCATGTTCACCGACGGCCTGTCCCAAACACAAATTGAAATTTAACATAAGCAAAATGCGATATATATACAAAATTATTCAAAAATTATTTTATTAAATTACTAAACAAAAAAGTTATCAAAACATACCTTTGAGAAAACGAGATCTTCACAGCAAAAATCGCAATATATTTCAACACTTTTTAATCAAACGGCGCATTGAGAATAAATATCTTGAATAATAATGCGCCGCACTGAGACGCGCGTTGCATTTCGGGAAGACCCTCATTCCTCTTCTGGCTTATATCTGTCAAGAGAGCTTACACCCATGTTATAATACTTTACCACTATAAAGCTTTGCAATTTTACTAATGCATGGTGATGTGATCTTAAACTGTGGTGTTGGATTTTTATGATCCCTGCCTTTTTTATGATCCATTTTTATGATCCCTCCAAAATTTGAAATAACCGTGAAAACATCTATTATAAATAGTGTTAGAAAAACTGCTATATAGTGGACCAAGCGTTAAATTCACAGAGTTCCAAAAAAGCTGCGGGCATGCGGGTACCACCCGTAATGAAGGTTTACCATAGGCGAGGTCAGTGAGGAAGGTTTAGTGGTTAATGGTCGCTAACACCAAAGAAATAATACAAATAAATCATAGTTGAACAGGCAGTTGAGGAGGACAGGTTGTGGTGGTACTATTGTCATATACTACCTATACCAGATGTCTATGACATTGGAGAATACTGAGAAAACAATAACTGAAAATTTTCTGTAAAATTAAAATGTACATGTGTCAAGCATCAGAGGTGCCTTAAACCATTGCACCGCCAATACCAGGTGGCTATTACTAAGAGCTATTCATCATGGTTACAATAACAAAATCAAATGTTATTATATTATTCAGAGATTATTTGATTACATGATTCCAATTGTTATAGAGAATAATTAATTAATAGTTATAAATGAAATTAATCATCAACGCTGTAACAATTAACCATTGTGATAATTTTATATAAATATGACCAAGGTGAAATGCTGTAAACTGCCACAAAAATTATAAACAAAGCTGAGGAAGAAATTTTAGCATGTGCGATGTGAGTCCGACAAAAATAATACAGCTTGATTGCTGAGGTGTGTAGCTGATACATATTTAATACAGATCGACAAAATGTATCGAGGTCCTACTCTCGAAATCATAGTTTACATGCATACCTGATACCTAGACTGTCTATTCCCACAAACTATAAGATAATCATAAGTATATTGCAGGATTGGCAGCATTTGTTAATTACAGTATAGAGATTGCCATATTGGGGCCGCTGTAATTGGCAATAGCTGTTGTGGTTTCCCAGCCAATGAATGTATAAGTATGATGGCAAAGTAAATAAATAAATAAAAAATATTGCCACTGATTTTCACTGACCATTCCAAACATTGTCATTAATTATAAACTGGCATGCAGGGCATAAAACTATACTTGGTTTAAATTTAGCACTTGCTTTGGAAACAAGTGAGAGGGCAGCACAACCTTGTTCACGCCTGTCGATATTAACCAGGAAGAAGTTGTTGATTTTTTTCAATTTTTACGTGTCTACTGCTGAGCTTTTTATTACAGATTCAGAAACCATCACGTTTTAAAGATTATCTTGAGTCCTTGACTCTTTTTTTTTAATATTCTTTTATATTCAATACATCATATAGGATGTAGGCGTATATATAGTAGGTAATGACTGTCCAATTTGTCCAAAGTATAAATCTATTACGGCAAATTATGTATTAGAATTATGTACTTCATTTAACGACGTTTCTTTCGAATTTTATGCTTACAGAATCAGTTAAATTTATATACTGTATATTGACGTATACTATTTGACGAAGCCATATTTTAATGATTATTCAATTTATTTTGAGGAAGGTTTGAAAACTTTAAATTTTACCCTGAGGAAATTTGAACAGGTTTTGCAACTTTGTAAATTCACTTCATGATTCTGATGCTTTAATACATCTTTTGTTTATGTAATTTTTCATTTGCAACACCTTTAGATTCTAGATGTGGCAGCACTTGAGTGTTGCTTGCAGCAATTGGAACCAATTTCTGGAGATCTTGAAAACTCTGATAGTAGATTGATTTGGTGTAACCGAGTTCAATGCATTCGTCCTGTCATAGAAGTTATGAAAGGTTTGATTCCAAGACCGTCGCAACAACAGATAGGAAATGGTGACAGCGAGGCCAGGTCTCATGCTCAATTTTTTGGAGAAAAATCTGCTCATTATTTACAAAACTGCAGGTGTGTACTTACCCTATCCAGCGATCGTACAATTACAAACAACCCCTCCATGGCACGTTGCTATTTCTGGATAGGGGTGTTTTTGAATACCTAAGGGTAGACAGTTATTCACCATACACACCTATGAATTTACGTCCTGTAATACAAATTGTTTTCATGAATGTATTGGTTTACGGAAACATGTTTAATATCGGTTACTTTTTCCTTGTTTTCAACCACATGAATATCCCGATCTTGTTCGCATCATCCTTCGAGTACATGATGCTGCCACTTCAGATCACCCCTGACGAAGACACTGGACTGGAGGTTCGAAACGTTGGTTCGTCAATCCATCTGGACTGGGCTTTGCATTCATTTACTTTGGAACCATAGTAGCGTCCGAAAACATGACGAGTATAGTACATGATGATCCTGGGCTATGCATTGCATATCAATCTTGGCAAAAATTGTTGTGGACAGCGCCCGCTGAAATAAAACTGACCATCCTTGACCAATATGTACGTGCACAACAGCAATGTTTAACTTCCCCCCTCCCCCCTGTTCATTGTTGAAAGCTTATACATTGGTTAGGTGGAAGCTTTAGGAAATGCATGTCAAGACCAACATTGTAGGTGGGGGGGGGGGAGTGGGGGAGACAAAGACGCCAGCAAGTTTACACCTCAGTGTCCACTGAATTTTTGCCAAGATTGTATTTTCGGGGATCTAAACCGATGAGCGCCAATTTATCTACACTGGTGCTATTATAGTTATCAACCAAGCAAGTCTGCCATGGAGGAGATAGGAAACTGCATTTGATATACCCCACAAATAATATCTATTTGTTCATGGATAGGATATGTCAATATACACGCCCTAATAGTATTACGTCAGGGAAATGACGTCATCTGTGCTGACACGCAACCTTTGCATAATTGCAGTGCTTAAGCTCGATTGCGGTCGCCAGTTATCTGACACCTTGAAAATGTATGTTTCTTCAGACGTTATAACACAACGGATGTATAAAAAAATTGTACGTTTGTCAAGTGATATATTGTATTTCCATCGTCAAACATTACGTTTCAGCATTTTGTGTTAAACTTAAACTGAAATTGCTTATTCCAACCTATAAAATAAATGTTTTATTTTATGGTTTTTTTTAAATGAAACCAGTAACCATGTAAACCTTTAAATTATACCTGCAAAACCTGCATAATAGATACAGGAACGTATTTCTTTTCGTAGAGCCACATGGATTCGTCTAGATGTTGTACGCATGTTTATTGAACATACATGTCCACCCGGACAGTCAACCCATCCAGCAGATGCAAACAACGCTTTTCTACTGTGGACGGTAAAACCTAATACTATTCTCTTTGTTTTGAAAACACTAGAGTAGAACTAAAAACTGCACAAAAACACAAAAGAAAACGTTACAGAACGTGTCGAAATGGTTGGTGTGGAAATGTAGAAGTGAATGAGTAAATTATTGAAGTTGTTGCATGAACGAATTTACACAATACTGAAAAAAATAGTGTAATATATACTTCTCGATGTTAGAAAAACCTATTAAAATTCCAGACAACGTGCAGAGTTAGTAACACTCACACTTAATTGCAGATTAAACAAAAGTTATTCAAGTTAAGATTGAGTCTGCATAATTTGTGCATGTTCATCATTGTCCCCGAGCCAACAGCGCACAGCGCCGTTCCGGGCGTCAGCCCGGGGCGAGGGTACTAATTACCCCCGGCTATTTACACCCGGGGAAAGGGAAGCATTAGCCAAGTCTGAAGTCCATCAATGATCGCGGGCGTCGGTCACCAACCGTGGGTGGTCATCCTCACTGATCTCAAAAATATGGCTGTTTGCCAGGAGTGGGATAAACAAGATTTCAATTTTCAAAAGCATATATTTGGAAAATCACGTTTCACACAATGAGCTTTGAAGCAAAAAAAGGTAAAATGTGAAGGAGAGAAATTAGTTTGAAAACCGAACTGAAATTACTCAACAATTTGAACTTATTTTATATTATAAAGTAAAAACAGTTTATCGGAAAAAGCAGTTTATAGTTTAATATTAAAATGAACATTTCGAAACATTTTACGAAGCGATTCAGATTAAATTTTACATTAAATCAAAGCTCACAAAATGCAGAACAACATACCTACAGTACATATTTCGGAAATTCATGGTTATATAGTAAAAACAATTTTTCGTGTATTTTTGGCGTGTAGTGTCCAAAAAATATAATAAAAATTAAATTTATCATTTTATCGTGTTGTCATGGCAACACTGACGTAAACGCGAGCCTGCGTTCAAGTGTTAATCAATTAGTAATACTTCGTGTTAAATCAATGTTTGAAAAATACATGCGAGGGGTTGCTGCATGCATGTATTTCTAGTTAGATACGATTTCAGTACGCATGTTGAGCAGACCCTCTCCAATTAGACGATATATATATATATATATATATATATATATATATATATATATATATATATATATATATATATATATATATATATATATATATATATATATATATATATATTTATATAGTTCTCCAAAGAACGAAACAATATTGTTGTTCTGAGCAACGTTGTCCTGTATGTTGACGTCAATCTCAGTAATTACCCTTTAGCTCATGACAATTATGCAATTGTGACACAATTATGCAGTTATGCAATTATGCAATTGTGACACATACATAAAGGTTAAGTTCAACAGTTTAGGGCATGTTGCAGTTT